AATGAATGAATAAAATAGAGAAAGAAAAAGTTTAAGGCATCTTTTCCAAAGTTCTGTAGCTTCTTGTAGCTTACAGAGCACTGCTTCTAAATGTAAGGGACTGAAATAGCAGCCACAACCACAGGTCAAACTTGAGTGCCTTTATCAGAGATAACTGATAACAAGAGAGTGAGCGTCACGTGAAAATCAAGATATGCCAGCAACACCTGACAATGGAAATGATGTAAAGGAGTGTAGCAGAAGGATACAAACTGGGGGACGATATAGTAAAACAATAACCATTAAAAGATTACAGCAGCACCTAGAATATGAACAAGGCAGACAAAATAGTGCTTCTCAAAGGCTGAAGCACAAGGCAATTCTGAAACTGGGGTATGAGAAAATTTGGTGGCATACTATTCTCAATAGCTCTAAAAGAACTGTAATTACCATTGAAGAAGGGATGCTTGTACACACTAGTGCAATAGGGTATCAAAGATTGATAAATATATGAACTTCATTTTTTTCAACACGTGCTTTTAAATTCTTTCCATCATGGGCTGCAGCCACTGCCCTTCAATGGCCAGGCAGGCAGGGCCAATAGAGAAAGCCAAACTCTGCCTTACCTCCAGAAAGTGCATGGCAAAGCTGCATTATTGCTTAGCACAGCAGGAGAGTGAAAACATTGACCTCACCACCTTTAGGGAAGTCTAAAACTTGCCATTTTGTTGGCTACAAGAACTTAAAGGTAACAAAGTACACAGTATCAAAAACAAATACTTTTAGATTAAAATGTAAACACCATGAAGAAGAGTTATTTGTGTAACAGATAGATAGCTGCAGAATTCTATTATTTCAAACTCAAGTTACACTGGAGTGCAAGTCGCCAACGTATGTTTTAACGCGCATGTAAGCTCACACACATGAAGATAGTTTGCAAGACTTCGCATAGAAAGCTATTTCCTGGGCAAGGATTTTACTACCCTCTCTTTTTGAATACAGAGAAATAAAATACATTAAAAAGCCACTGCTGGATGCTGTGTGCGTGTTGATCCCTTTTGACAGATGCGAGGAGGTGCACAAACACATGAATAGGAGAAAACACGAAAAAACTTCATGCAATGGAAGGAGTTCTGCACACAGCTAGCTATGAACTCTCCCACACCGACCTGCCACTGAAAGGAAAAAGACGCACAGAATCAAGACAAGATGTCTACAAGTCCCCTGAAATAAATTATCTTTAAAATAAATTCATTTATTTTATTCTTTTTTTTTCCCCAAAAAATTGTAAATTAACAAATTCCTTCATGCAGCATTCACCCAAGAGATGTATTTTATGGACTTCTCAGAAAAAGAAAAAAACAATTAAGTCTCTTACACATTTACAAACCATGGGATCACTTAAGACTGTATGATTTCTTCCTTCAATTCACATCTTAGAGCCATATATTCATACAGTACATATACATCAATTGCACTTGTATTGTTTTTGTATCTCTTCCTCAGAAGTACTTTTCCTATTTGGACAATACATAAAACACTTGGAGAAATTATGTTCTCCCCACATCAGACACGGAATCAAAAGCTCCCCAATGTGACCCAAAGCTCACTTCAGTGCTTCACAGCCAGTTCCCACTTCCATTATTCCTCACTGACCAACAGACTGACAGATGTCTTACTTTAGAGATCCCAAACAGACTATTGGTATCCATTTCACCCACATCTGTTCCTAAATAGCCTTGGCAGCAGGCCACCCTCCACTCGGAATTAATTTTAAGTCCTTTATTGCTGATTCTTTCCCTGTTTCAATACATCAGTGATTTTTTCCTTATTGCTGAACTTAGGTAGAACGTTTATAATTTCAGATTTTAATGAACAACAAGATGATACTATGCATACTTAGCCTACACACTGATCTTTTTTACTTCACTATAAAAGCATACTGTCGATAATATGTTAACCTCAATATTACTCCACAGCACTTTCTTGCCAGTCAATTAATTTAGAACATTTTGTTCTACTATTTATATTTTAAAAACAAGGTTTTATCTGACAGGATTATTACTCAAATACTCAGCCCATGCTTACCTGCTGTCAGTCTGAGAGAATGAGTTCATACACTCTTCAGTCAAGTGCACTAAGCACACAGCAAACTACACTTACAGAAAGGTTTTCACAGTTAGCAAAACCCTCTGGGTTTCTCATGCCAGCAAATACAGAGTCTGTGCTGGGCTTGTTCTAGTTCTTATCTGATAGGAATCTGCTGAAAAACTGAAATTTTCAGTTTGTAAATTCTATGGCAATCTTCAAAAAGATGCTGAAGGCTGTAAGGAAATATCAGTCGAAGACAAACAAACAATTCAACCCAAACAACCCATGTTTTATTGGAAGAACAAAGTAAAGGAGAATGAATTGACATTATATAAACAGAAACTGTTCTAAAATACAAATAATTCCCACATTCACCGCTGCTAATCCCCTGTATTTTGCTAGCTCTTAAACTTCAGTCACAAAAAAAAAAAAATTCATTCTGAGCATCTCTTCTGGAAGGATTCTCCATCATTCAGTTATGTTTATTATTTTCTGAAAACTCCTAAAAATCACGTAACATTCACATCTGCATTTCAGACAACCTTCTCTTGTGTGGCATTTTAAGCAGCATCCAGAAGGAGAAGCTCTTACAGTCTGGTGCTAGATTGTTAATGTAGAAAGGGAAGACAATTTCAGTGAATGTTACAGCAAAGGAAAGCCATATGGAAAGAAACTGGAGTAAAAACTAGTAATTAGTGACTGTGAACTGTGCTTTCATCACATCACCTGACACATTCTTAAAGCAAGCAACCTGACCCGTGTCAGGGCAGCAGGTTGCACAGGCTGAGCTCAGCATCCTGAGCTCAAATTGCAGCCTTGGGGCAGGGGGCTGAGCCCCACTTTGCTCTGCCTGCCTGACTCCAGCCTCAGACCCACACTCATTTGCATCGTTCTTGTCCAAAGCTCTGTTAGTGCAGAGGGTACAGGAAACTCACAGCAGACCATCACTTGGTAAGACAAAACCCCTCTGGAGACAGACGCTGCAGAAGGTAAAGGAGGAATAGAGCTTGGTAACCACACACTGACCAAGAGCTCCACAGAAACAGTTCAGTGGTGCAGAACTCTGCTTACATTAGGGTGTAGGTGACTGAGCCCAGCCAGAGCAGAGACTGTGTATTAGGGACCTGAAACTGCCACTTTGAACTGACAGAGCCAAGGCTGAGCAATGTGCCTGACAACAAGAGCTACAGAGCTGCAGGTTACAAGCAAGGACATCAGCAAGGCAGGAGCAATTTGGGGAACTACTGAGGGAGGAAGGGAAAAGAGGAATTAGTGGCTACCTGTACCCTTCGGATATGTCTGCCACAAAAAGACTTTTTCCTAAAAGAGGAAGAGTTAGTACATGCAGGACCAAGCAAGAGACACTTTGCATCAGGCTCAGGCCACCTAACAAAGTGAGTTTCTTTGTTTGAGTCAGCATTAAATGACATTATGAAGCTTTTGGTTTGGAGAAAATATGCTTAAACAAAATCCCAGGGAAAAAAAAAACATTCTGAGCAAGCTGTTCAGATAGTCCTCAACTATCTCCTATGCCTGTTCACAGCTTGGCCCAAGTACTCACTGCTTTTGCACTGTACAAGATAACCACAAGAAGCTCCTGCAGCCCCAGTGCACATCCCACCACCAGTATCCCTATGGGACGGAAGAGAGTCAGAGAGAACAAGCATCCAAATTACAAATCCTTATTTGACCTCTGCAATTACAGAAGTAAAGCCATCCTGACCTCCAGTGCCCAAGCTGAAAGGAAAACCAGAACAGCCTTTCTCTGTATCCGTCCCTGCAAGAACAGCAAGCCCAGAACAAAAACCCTCAGCTCTCACGCTGCTCACCTGCCTACACCAGCAGGCACATGCAGAGCCAGCCCAAAAGAAGGCATCACAGGGATGCTGCTGAGTGCTCTTCAGGTAGACCACTGAGTTCCCATCACAGCATGACCAAAAGGGACTCAGGAACAACCTGACAGTTTTCCTTTTAAGATGTTTTCATTCTCAAAGAAAGCCCATGACAATGCTGGAACTGACTTTAAATACAGTGCACTTTAATACCTTGCACACAGAACTAAATAATTCATAACTGACGCTTCAGACCACATATACAGACACCTACAGATAACCCCAGCCAGGGAGGAGGAGTAGCCTCAGTGCTGCATTACCGAGACTCCCACCCCAGCTGTGTAAAGCAGGGCCATGCTAACACCTGCACAGGTGTCAGCAGAACTGCTGCTCTGCTGAACAGCAGGTATTGAAGTGTGAGCATAATGCTGCCATGAGCCAGCGCACCACACTGGTTTGGCTGGAGCAGCTCTGATGTCCCTGCAAGGTTACATCGAGCAGAGCACAACTTCAGATTCAGGCTGAGAGTGCTTTCCTCTGCAGCAAGTTCCTTCCAAAGCAATACCACAACGAACACGGTGTGTGCACCTAGACAGGCCACCTGTGCTGTAATAGCACCCAGCTGCGTGATCAGAGAACCGCAGCTCTGGAGAACAGCCCTGACCCGTCCTTCCCTTAGCACCACGAGGTCACCTCAGTTCACAGGCACTTGGAATAGTGCACGTGACGTTCTGAAAGTGAGCTTAAGCTCCCCGAGTTTTTAGGAGGAAAAGAAAAAAAAAAGATTACTTGGATAAATTAAAGGAGCATGCCTTTTCTGCATGATTTTTCACTTGACTCCATAGGCAGCCCATCTCGCAGCACGCTGCTGCATGGAAGAGCGGCGGGCTGGCCCCACCCACCAGTACAGCCCGAGCAGGTGCCACTGCCTTACAACACACCTCAGAGCTCGCACTTTCTGCACGCAGTACGGCCCCTTCCGAAGGAGCAGCTCGGCACACAGCCCCTCGTAGCGCCGCCAGCAGCCGCTCCGCTCGCCACAAGCGGCAGCCCGATACCGGGACCCCACCTGCCTGCCCGCAGCCCGGCCCGTCCCACCTGCGGGGCTCTCGGGCACGATGGGACTCCAATGCAGCCGTCGGGCGCTCAGAACCACGTCGCAGCTCCTCTTGCCGATCTCGAAGATGCCCCTGAGGAGCGGCTCCTCCTCTCCCGCCGGGGGTACGGCCGCCAGCGGGGCCACTCTGCGCCGCCGCTCCTCGGGCCGGTCCCGGCTGCGCGGGAGGAAGGGGCCCGCGGCGCCCGGCATGGCGGCACCGCCGCCCCTCAGCGCTCCCGCCGCGTCCTGGCGGCTGCCAGGGCAGCGCCCGCTCCGCCTCGCGGGCGGGGCCGCGGCCGCCGAGGGAGGGAGATTGGGCGGGAGAAGGGAAGCGCGCGCGGCTCGCGCGGGGCGCTTAGGCGCGCTGCTTGCGCTCGTGGAGAGGCCCGCTGAGGGCGGTCGCATCAGCACTCCTGAGGCGGCCCCAGCCTGGCAGGTGCTGCTGAGCCTGCAAGCGCTTAACGCGAAGGATAAACGGCGAGGGCTTTTTTAGTTCTGAGTTGTATAACTTCGTGCTGCCTTATTAACGCACGGATACCATTAAACGAGCAGGTCAGTAATCTTGTTACCAAGACATAGGGCTAGAGATGTAATGCTATGTAGCAGAAAGAAATAAAGCAGTAAAAAAAAAAAAAAACAACACTGCCCTTTTTGAGTGACGTAAGCTGCAGTTCTTGCGATTGTGTGTCAGAATATCCAAGTCTCTGTGTGCTTGGGTCTTTAGAAGAGAGTTGCTGGCAGAAATAGGCCAACTTCTCTGCAATCAAATGGGCTGGAAGTCTGTGAGGTAACTGTGAGGTAACTCATGAGTTTGTGACTGTAAAGCTGCCTTCCTTAGTAGCTCCATAAACACCCGTATCAAGTACTGATTACACAGCCAAAAGGAACATTTAAAGACATTCAATCTCAGTGCAAGGTCGTCTTGATAGTTATGTATTCCCGTTATGTTGAGTATGCTCTGAATATTTGCCAAGTGCACAACCTGTAAGTGCTGTTGAATTAGATGTTGATTTAGCTTTAATCGAGAAGCAGCTCTGGCAAATCTGCCCTTCTGAGCCACAATCACGTGAAGCTCCAGGTTGCTTAAAGCCGTTAGCATCAATAGTCTTATTCTGACTATGTGTCAGTATTTTCGTCCCTTAGATCTCCTCTGTTGGAATGTAAACACCTTGATTACAGAGTAATCAAATAAGATGCAGATAATTTGAAATATGTACAGAATACGAAAGTTGCATGCAAAATATATCTTCTCATCTAAAGATAACCGTGAGAAGGCAGGAAAAGTTACAAGCTTAAAAAGAAAGATCTTGTCCATTTACCTTTCTGATACAGCAGTAGATTGAACAATTAAACTTTATCTAGTTTTGGGCATCAGAGCTTTTGAACATGTTTTCATTCATTTCGTTCTAAAGGAAAGGTAAATCTTTAATAAGAGAACAATTTAAAATGAATGATTTAATCTCTTGAGACAGTATATGCTTTATAATCCCCTACTATCATATACTAGACTATCCCATCCACATATCTATGTATTTTCACTAGATTATTCCTCACAAGATTAAGAAAAGGATGTGTTAACAACTTCCATAGAAATGTAAAATATTTTTAGTGAAAGACTGCTACAGTTCCCTGACTTGCAATATTCTTCAATTAATGTCATTGAGAGTTCCAATACTCCATGTAATGATAATAAAAGACTATTAAATTGGTTAGATATTAGTTGCTAGCAGATTAAAACAAAATAGTAGAATTAAGGGAGTTGCATGTTTCGTCTATGGTTTTCATCTCTGTCTAGAAGTCTATGCATTCTTTGTATGCTACCAAAATCCCCTATCACCACAGCCCATTAAGTTTGAGGCAGACTTTCCCCTGGGAAGAAGAAATACAATTTGATGCAAGTCTACTTAGTTTTGTTTGTTTTGGTGCTTTTGTTGTTGTTGTTTTTTATATGTATATATACCACAAGTTTTCAGATGGTTACTTTGAATTGGGAAAAAATGCCAAAGAATCATAGTCCAGCCTGATTTTTTTAACTATCTTGTATATCGCAAGCCATATTTTCATATTTAGAGCTTCCTTGTCATTTCTTTTAAGAAGGTCTCTGTGTATTGATAATCCCATTAAAGGGCATCTAGAAGGACAGCGTTGTGTTACCCTTTATAAGTATTTGAACATCTTTGGAATAAAAGTATTTAGTGTTTTCTGCACAGGGTAATTTGAATTTAATGTACATCCTTTGGATCCAGGGAGAAGAACCTTGTGCACCAGAGCACAAGTACACCTTGTTCTTCAGCAGTGCTGTATAAGACATACCTGTTGTGTGTGTTTTTTTCCCCACTGATAATTACAGGCAAGATATGTATTTTTATAATACAGCAGGTGTAACATACCATAGAGCTGAATTCACAAAAGTGTTTCATTCAGTATTTTAGTTTGAAAACAAGTTTACTCTATTTTACCTTAGAGCCTGTAGAGCTGCCTTGGTAAGTGTCTTATTACTATTCATTTTTGTGATGAAGGCTCTTGTAAGAGTAGTAAAGGGCAAAAGGAGGAAAGCCCTGCATGAAGGGAAAACATGCCACTGTCAGGGCAACAGCCAGTTCCCCCCCTGAGAGGACTCCAGGTGAGCACAGCAGGTCCCTCCCAGACCACACATGGTACCTGGTGAAGCAGTCCAGGGCAGGTGCCAGCATCAGCCAGGAGGCTTAGCCACCAGGAAACCTGCAGCAAAAAAAACAGGGCTGAGGCTACACCACTGGTCTGGCTCCTCTCCTGTCAGAGTTGTAGCTATTAGAACCAGCATCACACAGCTTCTCTGGAGTAGGGGAAGAAGGACTCAAGGCTGAGCTTAAATAGAGCTCTGGGCCCTTGGGCAGGTTGCAGGTGGGGCTGATCTGGGCTGTTAATGCTCCTCAGTGCCCTTAGCACTCTGGCAGCCAGAAACATGAAGGAGAGCATCAAGGGGCAGGGAGGGCAGGCTGCCCACAGAGGAACTGACAGTGAGTACCAGATAGATAGGCCCCATGTCCCTCAGAGCAAAGCCACCTGTAGGCACGCTTGGCCAAGGCTCCAGGTAGCTGGACCAGTCTGTGCAAAGAGCTAGGCCCAGTCTATCACTGGAAATAGAATCAGCAGGTCAGGGCTAGTGACAGCAGCTGTGGTCATCAGCAGTCTGGCAGGCACTAGGGAGTCCGTGGTGACAGAGCAGTCCCCAAATGAAGCTAGACTGTTTGTCAGGCTGCAAAGATCCTGCCTGGGGTTTCTCAGAGCTGTATCTCTCAGCAGACCAGAGGAGACCCTGCATGTCTGTGTGCTGTGCTGGCCTCGGAGCCAGGCAGCTGAACTAAATGAAGGGAACATCCTCGGCCCTGACAAGAAGTAGCAGGGAACAAACAGCTTCTCCTCAGCTGACAGCATTCCTCACCAGACAAAGGAAGCCATCTCTGACTGTGCAGGTGCTAAGAAGCAGTGGGAGTCTCAAAAATCTCTTCCAGGAAAACTTAATGAAGAAATAGGCTTTACAGCTCTCTGCAAGGAGCAGTGAGGGAGGGAAGCACAGCTAGTAATTACTGGAGGAGAGTAACAAGGTAAAGCAAGCTGTTAGAAAATTAATCCTTTCCCTCAAGGGAAGGAGTAGAAAAATGCAGTGAGGTGAATAGGTGAGAGATTAGAAGGCCAGGTCTTGATTCATGGATAATATGATGCTGGATTTGGGGTATGGATATTAAGACAAGAGGAGAGGATGCTGTGAAGAAGGCACTCTTTGCTCACTCTGGAGGATTGGCCTGGACGTTCCTGGAAGTTCTGTTTCACCAGCTGGATGAACAAATCTCTAGATTTTCTTTTGGATAAACATGAATTAAGAAGTTGGCAGCATCTCCTTGGTTTGTGTTTTTCTGTCTACTGTGTTCATGCAATAAAGGCTGGATGTGTAGTCAGTTATACTTTGGGTTTTCATTCCCAAATATTAGCTCTCATAACTGTTTCTTCTTCTTGCATTCCTCCTATAGAAAAAAAAAAAACCTATTAGAACTGTCAATATTAATTAATCTCTGTTGTTTCTCCTTGACTTCAAACAAGAAATACTAAGCAGAATGCCGTTCTATGAATAAGGTCAAAAATTAAATATTTTGCAGAAAAAAAAAAATAGTAGCAATAGTCTGTAGAAGAGAGTATTGCTATTATTATATATGTCTGAATGCCTGAAAAGGAGAAAGAAAACACCCAAAAGGAAAAGGAGAAAAATATAAAATAAACATGAAGATAAAGAAGAGCAGATAAGGAAAACAAAGCCTGAAGTTGTAGAAGTGACCAAGTAGGCTTAGCAGAGATGACCGCAAAGAGAAAAACATGAAGGACTGAAAAGGTTGAAGAAATAGGAATGGAGTATGAAGCTTGCGTCATTCCAAGAGCACTGGGAGCTGAAATCAATCTTAACAAAAATTATAACATAATCATGATTTTAAAAGAGAAAAAAAGGAAAGAAAAAGGTCATAGAAAATGTGGTAGTGGAAGGAAATATAATAGAATGAGTTCACCAGAAGGCATTTCATTCTTTCTTTCTATTAAGGTCAATATGCTCTTTTTAAGAAAATGAGGTTCTAATGTAAATCTTTTATTCTATCATCAACAAAATGCTGGCAAATACCATAGACAGTCATTTTTTCTATTGCACGCAAAATGCAATAACTGCAAACCACACTACTACAATCTAGGAAACTGAAAGCCAGGGCTGAAAGTCTATGTTTTACATACCCTGTAGGCAACCTAAATACTTGAGAGAACACTTTGAGAGCATTGTCAGTTTTAATTTTGTATTGCATAGCTTCTGACAGTTTGTTAAATACATGTATGAATTATTTAAAAAACACTTATGTACATATTTAAGGAACAGTCTATTTGTAGATCTTCATCTCTCTGCTTCAATACATAGTCACATGCTGTTTTTCAAGACTTTACATAATAAGGGATTTAGAGCTAAGGAATGAGTGCAGAGCATTTCTAATTTCTAAAATAACTACCATAAAATCTGCCTTGGTGAATAAAAGCGAAGATCAATTTCTGCATATTTTCCCTGCTACTTTACCAAGCAGGCTTTGATTTCTGTGATTTCTTCCTGAACAGTAATGAATGAGAAATGAAAGATTAATTATTTTAAATAATATATATATAAACAAGGGAAGGAGCATTTAGCTCTGTAATTTCAAAAACTATTTGATGAGGTTCTTTGCACAGAATACTGTATTGTTAGTAACCTTTTATTTCTATGAGAGGGATGTGTTATATTTTAATATGTCAAAAGCCACCGTTCAGGTCATGATGAATCCAACTTTGATCAGTTACAATGCTGAAATAAGTGCAGTAATTTTTATTGTTACAGATGATAGAAAAGGCTTGGTTTACTTGCTCTCAAAACCTAGTTTAGAATAATTTGTATTAATACCTATTACCTGTTCTTTTTGATATTACTTCATTAACATTCTGAACAGTAACTCCTGGAGAAATTAATACTCTGATTTTCTCTGGTGTTTCAGGGCCTTTGGCTCTCTCCAGAGCTTCAACTCTTCTCCACTCCTGGAGCCCTCCTGAAAGCACTGGCCCAGAGCTGATGACGTTCGGCCCCATCTTTTATTCAAGGTAGGCAAAACCCGAGGTTTCTGCCTCTTGGGCACTTTGTGGACGTGAGTTCTTATGGCTGGAGCCTCAGCCACGTCACAGATGGTGGTGGGTCAGAACCTCCAGGTCCGAACCTTTTGCTACAAAAACCAAGCAGGGCAGATGTGCCAGTTGGACTGTTGTTGCTCATGCACTGTTCTCGCAAAGATTGCACTGGTGTCTTCTCGAGCATACACTCACAGCAGAATGATTTCTGCCATCAGAGAAATATGGTGTAAAGGAGGAGGGAAAGACCACTGGTCCCAAAGAGCAATAAAAATAGCATTCTAGGCCTCTGTTGGATTACCCAGTGTGTGTGGGGATGACTCAACCCCTCGGTTTCCTTCGCATGAGGAAGTTAGATAATCCCACTATAGCCTTAGTTAATTAGCGATACGTTCACAGGAGAGGGACGGTATGAGTAATTCTTTCCTTTGAAAGAGACCTTGATAGACCTTCCCAAGGGAGTCACAAGCAGACATCTCTGGACTTAGCCTTATACTAACAATAAAAAAAACTAAATATCATGGAGATAGCAGGAGCAGCACTGAAGGAAAAAAAAAAACAACAACAACCAAACAACTCTAGTATACTATAGGTTAAAAAAAAACCCTAAACTAATGGTAATAGCAGAACTCACAAGTGATTTTCAAAATGGAGCCTCTAGTTACCAAAATGCCTAATTAATTTCCTTATTAAATTGCTCATAACATTAAAATGTTATTAAGGATAGCAGTAGCAAATACCCAAGAAAGCCTAGGTGGGTCTTTTAAGTAAATTGCATTGGCTAGAGGAGTTGGATTTAGTTATTAATTGGGGAAAAAAGAAAAAGGTAATTGAATAGGTTCCTTGTGGTTTGGAAATGCCTTCCAAATATTCATTAAACATTTAAGCGACTAAATTTGCAGAATATGTTCCTGACATTGGCACTGGTTCTGCAGTATTTCTCTCATCAGATGGAAGTACTGTGTGTTATGCAGAGTGCATTCATGCATAAACAATATCATTTTCATAAATTAAAACCTCCCCTGCAGAAGGAACATCTGTGCCTGCCTTTGAATAAAAGATGGTGGCATGCAAGTTGCCCCTTGACTGGAAGAATCCTCGTCTTGGCGAAGAAGGCACGTAACCAAATGGCAAACAAACCCGGGTCGGTCCTCGGGCGCCGTCTGAGCATAGGCGCTCGTTCCCGTTACGGGGCTCGCTACAGCCCTGCATTGCCCAGGAGGGGCTGACGGGGGAGCAGCACCCCGCCGCCCCCCCGCTGCTCTGGCCGGGCCGTGCCCGAGAGACCCGCGCGTTTTCTGCGGGCTCCGAGCGAGGGCAGCGGCTGCCGTCGGGCGCCGACTTGTTGCTGACTGCGGCCGCTCGCTGCGGGTCGCACCTCCGGGTCCGCGCGTCCCGGAGCCCCGTCCTCCCGCTACCTGGCAGCCCCGCTGCGAGCACCCGGCCCGGCCCCGTCCCGGCCCCGCGCTGCAAGCAAGAAGCCGCGTCCTCGGTTTGTTCTTGTTAGTGGTGGCTTTTTTTTTTTTTTTTTTTTTTTAAAGTCCAATTTTATTCTACAAATAATAAGTGTCGCACCTTCCATGAGCTATCCGAGTAAAACAATAATCCCATAGGAATTACTTACACTAAGAAAAAATAAAATCACATTGAAGGAGAAATGCAACATTCGACCAAATGTTCAATACTAGGTTGTTGCAAAAGGATGGACATTTCCTAAAATCCCAGTGTGCATTACACCATAATATACAGGTTTACAAACAAAATTACAGTACAGATTTGATTCCAGTTGAACCAGCGTTACATTTCAAACAGCACTTATTCTGGACTGCATTGTACATGCAATAGCTATTGTTCTAATTACGGATTAAATGGTTTGAATCTGTTTCAAGCTACCGTACTAATCGACTACAATAGGTATATAGCCCGACTCCAACGACCTGCTCAGCTTTAGGTTCCGAGTGATGAGACGAGCGAATGACAACCACGGATCGTGTGAACATGTCTAAAATCATGCAGTTACAGCGTCCGGAAACACCGAGAGCTTCAAGTTCTCTGCAGGAAAAAAAAAAACCAAAAACCAAAAAACAAAAAAAACACCACGGGATGCCAGGGGGCTCAAAGACTAAAAAGAAACAGTGCAAATTGTATGTGATAGTCAAGCAGCTTTTGATTTAAGAAGGGTGTTGGCATTTGCTTATAATATTTATATACAAGTTTGTGCAAGTCACGTGTTGAACTGATACGTTTTAATAGAAAATAAGTCTCTCGTTCTTCTGTCTTCTCAAGAGCTGGGGGTCTGGTTCTGATCGTAAGGGGGAAAGGAAAAAGAAATGGAAAAAAAGACAAAAAAAAAAAAAAAAAAAAAAAAAAAAAAAAAAAAAAAAAAA